TGGAAGTATCCAAAGTAAATAAGCCTACAAGATTGTAAACAGGGAACCAGAGACATCAATTGACAAATGAGGACAACTACAAACCAAAAAGAGGGAAACTCTGTGTTGTTACAGAACTTCTAGATGGTAGGGAAGTCAAGACAACTATAAGATAGAACAAACTGTTCTAAACTTGGGAAGAAAACTATAAATCATAAGGCAACCTCAAAGAAAAATGATAAACTTTCACATCAAAATGAAAAAGAGGACCAGAATTAATACTCAGCAAATACTAAAACAATAGCAATGAAGGAAGTGATAACACAATTCATAAACAAAATGAGCTCAGCATAGGAATTATATGGAACAAAGAAATCAGCACCATGAATAAGCACATAACAAAAACGACAGCAACAAATTCGTATTTGCTGATAATTACATATCTGGCAAGGGACTTATCTCTAAGATTTATAGAAAACTCCAACCCCTCAACACCAAAGGAATTAACAATCCAATTGGCAGAAGACATGAATGCACACTTCACCAAGGAGGATATTCAAGCGGCCAACAAATACATGAAGAGATGCTCACAATCATTGGCCATCAGACAGATGTAAATCAAAACTATGAGACACCGTCTTACCCCAGCACTGATGGCAAGGTTCAATAAGACAGAAAATAACAAATGCTGGTGGGGATGTGGAGAGATAGGGACTCTCATACACTGCTGGTGGGACTATGAAGTGATACAATCACTGTGGAAAGCAATATGGTGATTCCTTAGAAAGCTGGAATTGGAGATAACATTTGACCCAAGTGTGGTAGTTCAGTTGCTGTGTCAACTTGGCTGGGCCAGGTTGAGTGGCTGGGCAGCTGGATGTAGTATTCCCCATAATGAGACTGGCAATCAACTCCATGGTGGAATCTACTGTGAGCAGCTGAGTAGCTGCCTTAGGGAGTGTGGTCTGCTTCCTGTACATAAGCAGAAGCCTAGGGAATGGTCTCTAGCTTATGGCACCTTGAACCCTGCATGTAGCCGTGTCATTGTTCAGCAGCCTGCGACGCTCTGCCAACCTTGGGACTTACAATGGACTTGAATTAATGGCCTGCCATGTGATTTGGTAATATTGGGACTATGCCTTGTTACTTCTCAACCTTGGGCTTGGCAGCCTCAGCAGCCAGCAGCTGTCTGAGTGAGGGAAAGCCTCTGTCTTCAGTGGGCTGGGAGCTGGAGGCAGAGCTGAAGGCCAAGGTTGAGGGGCTTTAACCCAGCCCCTAGAGCCTGGCAATTTGAACTTGGACTTAAAGCTTCCAAACTGTAAGAGAATAAACTCCTATCAAGGCCATCCCATTTGTGGTATATTTGTGTCAGAGCGGCACTAGCTAACCAGAACACCAAGCAATCTCATTACTAGGTATATATGCTAGAGAAGTGAGAGCCAGGACAGGAACAGATATATGCACAGTCATGTTCATCGCAGCACTATTTACAATAGCAAAAAGATGGAAACAACCTACATGCCCATCACTGGAAGAGTGGATGACCGAACTATGGTACATACACATAATGGAACGCTATGCAGCACTAAAGAATAATGTAGAGTCGGCAAAACACTGCATGATATGGATGAATTTGGAGGACCCTATGCTGAGTGTAATAAGCCAATCAAAGAAAGACGAATACAGTATTAGTTCATTGTTGTGGAGGTCTCAAGGAAAGGTTTATATATGGAGGGAAACTTTCTTTGTTGGTTGCCAGGGGTGGGAGGGGAGGAGAGGGGAGAGAACACTGCAAAAAAAAAAAAATGCATTGACCCATGTCACTCTAGTTTTGTGTATTTCACTGTACATAAATTATATTTCAATAAAATGCATTAATAAATAGTATAGTATAACTGTACTGACTAAAACACTAACTATATATTCTTCTATAGTCAGTAAATTATAGAAACTTTGTTGCAAGCAAGTCTATAGATGCTATTTTTCTGACAGCATTGCTCACTCTGTGTCTCTGCTACATTTAGATAATTCTCACAATATTTCAGATTTTTTCATAATGCTGTTACACACTTAATAAACTAGAATAGAGTGTAAATATAACTTTATACGCACTGGAAAACTAAACAATGCATGTGACTCGATTTATTGCGATTCTGGTTATCTGGAACAGAGCGCGCAGTAACTCTAGGGTACAGTCAGATAAAGAAACTGCCGCTGGAAGGATCAAAACAACTGGCCAAAAGCGCAGGGAAGGAGTATAGCTGCGACCGCACCAAGACTTCTCTGAGTGTATTTCTAACTTCTAACAGCGTTAAAGGCCCTGGGACCCAGGCGAACTCCATTCGCACATTCCTTCCACCAAGGCCCCCTGCGCCGCCCCTGTCGTGCAAGATTGAAGCCACTAGATCCACAGCCCGCCCACCGGGGGAAGACCACTGGCCCCGCCCCTTTCTCCGGACCCGCCCTTTCCTCTAGCCACGCCCACGCGCCTGGGGCCAGGGGCACGGCCGCGGAG